ACTTGCGTACCTCCCGGAGATTTGCGAATGAACAGCCATCGCTTTTGTTTATATTGCGAATCTCACCGAGCACGTGCTTTAAATCCACGATTGACTTTGACCGGCAGTTGCATTTGCAGCACCAAAGCTCTGCGATGGAGGGTAGCCGCTGGCGACGTACAGGATGACCTTGCAAGGCTTCTTTTCAGAAGAGGCGGTTCAGCATGCGACATCAACGGGTACTTCCTCGTTTATAAAAGGCCTCTTCTTTGGCATTCTGTCGGTCTTGGCGATAGAAGCATTCCTCGTTTTTCGCCTTGTCAGTCACTTTCTCGACCCATCCCGTCGTCTCTTCAAGGTGTCTGCTGGTGACCGCCCTTCCTTTGCCAAAGAGTTTATTGGTGTGACTGGCGGCCCTGAAGGGACGGGAACGGCGGCTGACCATGAAATCCTCAAAGATGAGCTGCTCGAGAGCAAACACAAAACAACCAGCAGCTCTGCACACCATCAGACACGAGAGCATCACGAACCCTGGCCGGAGAACGTTGTGGAATTCTTGCGTCAAGCTTTGACACCTGGGGATAACGATGCATTGCTACGACCCTCTCGGTCAAAGAAACCGGGATCGACTCCCCTCGATCAAGACAATGAACCCATTGCAATGGCAGAAACTGAGCAATGCCACTGGATCAATGTTCTTGCACACAGATTTTTCTTGGCGCTGAGAGGGAGCGAGCTGTTCAAGAAGAAAGCCAAGGCTAAGTGGACAGAGAAGATTAATGTTAAACTGAAGGGAAACTCGTTCGTGGTACGAATCTAGTCATGGGTGGGGCCTTGTGGTCCAAAATATGTAAACATATTAACGAGTTGCCTATATGACAGTCATACATCGAAGTGACAGATATCTCTCTGGGGGATTATGCGCCGAAGATTCACGGTGTCCGATTACTCAAGGGGATTGCTGAGGATCTCGCTGTAGTAAGCGTCGTGGTCTCGATGTCTTCATAAACGGATCGAGATGAATAACATTGATCGAATATTCATAGTCAGCGGAACTAGACGTGACATATAACGGTGGCGGAAGCATCGG